CCCCAAAACCCCAAAACCCCAAAACCCCTTAATTCATTTTTATAATTTAATAAGATAAAAGATTTCAATTAATTTAAATTTTATGTCAAATGATGATTAATGTAATTTTCTTGATGATATCTAACTTTTTAAGTAATAATTTTCTCAATTTTATCTTATTCTCTTCGAATTAATTTGCTCTCCACTTATTAACTTCTCAAATTCCTTGTCTCCTTCATCCTCATTCAAACTATTCTTGACTTATCTTGTTTATCTACCGCTTCTTGTCCTCTTGCCAAGTGAACCCAAATTATCACTTCCATCGTTTGCATAATTCGTTTTAAGTATAATTTTTTCACCTGTGGCAAATTAATTATTTTATTTGTTTTCATAATCTAATTCAAAATCTCTCTAATCTCCAATCTAATTTCTATTAAGTCTTCTATTGCTTCCTGAAGAATCATGATTTTAAGCACCTGCATTAATAGTTATCTTTGCATTTGGTGTAACCTTCATATCTGAATGATCTGACATCTCTTGCTATTTTATTTCTATCAGGTTATTTTAAATAGCTGGAATTTGGTTTATTGAGCTTTATATCATTTGCATATTATCTGCATTATTCTCTCTGTTTCTTCTTGAAGATCTTGATTAAGGCAACTATTAAATTAGGACATGATTATTGTAGCTGTTGTTGTTACTATTATCATTCTTTAATTCTTCATCTTTCTCTTACTACTTCATCTACATTTTAAATTAATCCATGGTTGTCAGTTGATTACTACCCCCATTATTTCTCATAACAGGAGCAGTGAGCTTGCCAATGGGTTTTTAGCCAAATAGAAGTCCTTTTTATTCCTCTATTTTTTGCTGTTTCGTATCTTCAGAATGCAAAATAATGCTTTTTCTTATCTCTGATTTAATTCCTTCAACCATTTTCTTTGCATCTTTGAATAATGGATTATCTTCTCCATTATAAATCCTAGCATTAAAGCTGATTAGCTCTAGATCATTAAACAACTATTCTTAAGTTCTATAATACTTATTTAAAAGTCTTTCAAGAACTAAGCTAATATACATTTCAGCAGAAACATGCTATCTATAATCTGGAGCGATTTTTTCTGGTACTCTCTCCATGAATGGAAGTGTTTATTCTTTTTTCCTTTCTACATACTCGGATATTATACTTATAATACTTTAAATTTCCTCATCATTAAAAGAACTAACTAAACCTTGATAATCCAAATTTTCTTCAAATTCTAATGATAATATTAGCTCCCAAAAGTTCATATTTTCAGCAGGCTCTTCATCAAAACTTTGTCTTCTCTAGCCTCTTCTACCTCTTTCTCTGAGACTATAATTATCAACGTGCTTATACTAAATAGACTCCCAACCAGTAGGATCTAAAAGTTATTCTTTCTCTTAGATTCCTACAATCTTTACTTTATTAAAGTTTTTTAGTCGGGTCTTAAATGTCTCGCCAATGAATTTTTATTAGTTCATTAATCCATGATACAAGAAGAGTGAATTTTCATAGAGTCGTTTTAATACTAAAAACTCTGACAATTAATTTGGAAAATAATCTATATCAAATGTACTATCAGGCTGTCCAACAATTTACAACTCTAGTCTCATTACAATTTATGGCTCCTATATTATATTTGAACTTTTACCGTATCTTTTTAGAAGGTATAAAACATTTTTTGATGGAAAGAAATAAGAGATTCGTAGAATTTTACATAATGTAGGCTTTTCTAGTTCCAGGTATTACTTCCATGGGTACTAGACGGTTAAAGTTTTTTCATTTCCAGAATAAAAAAAGCAGTTATACTAGCTTATAAACTTTTCATGACCTTGGAAAAAATAATAAACCTGGTCATTTACTTGAGGGAGATAAAATTCTATTGGCTATTTACTAAGCAATAAATAATCTCTTTTCATTTATCTTTTAAGTATCTTGAATTCACTTTTCTCTATCAATTCTTTGCCATTAAATTAGGAATAATTCTCTCTGTTTCTGCACTCAAAGCATTGATAGTTTTCAGCTCCAGTAAAAATCATATATAGTTAGGAACATAAGAATCCATGATAGGTTTTGTCGCAACTTTAACATTTTATCGTTGCTCCTATAGTTTGGCATCTTCTACACATTGAAGGCCTTTTGTTAAAAATATCCAATGCTTTTCCAATATTCATCCATTTTTATTTTTGTCTGTTGAAGAAAGAAACGCTGCTAACTTCAATACAGTCCTTATGGAAAAAAATAGGATGCTCATTTTACTTATATTTATTAACTTTTAGGAATGGACCAATTATCGGAGGATCAGTTCGTTTGCATAATTCACACTTTCTTTGCTAAATCATTTACTCTTATAGTTATATTTGATTAATTGGGTGATTTGGCTAATACTCATAGTCTTCGTCGCCTTTTTACTTTTTACCTAGATCAGTTGGTATTATCACTTCTTAATCAATATTATCTGAGTCACTATCCTCTTTTATGACCCTTTTAGATTTTTTCCCTTAAGAACCTGGCTTTTATCCATCGCTATTGTTTTTCAGAAGTTTTTCCTCTTCATAATCCATAAAATCATCTTCACTTGAATCCATTCCATCGCATTTCTTTCTATTTTCTCTGCTTCTAAGATTTCTTTTTATTTCTCTTTTTTCTTATTCACTTTGTTTTGGGTTCTTTGATCCTTTTCTAGCATTTCTAGTCCTCACTCCAACATTAATTTCATCATCTGATTCTTCATAATTTGTGATATCACTCATAGATTCATTTTATTGTGATTCTTCTCTGATTATTTTTTTAAGCTTTCTTCTAGGCTTAATTGCATCATTATCGTCAGACATATCATAATCTTCATCTTCCGAAATATCACATTAGGATGAATCATCACTTTTCACAACAGCTCTTCTTCTCCTTTTGGATCTTCCTTAATTTTAATTTACATCATCTTTATCTTCTTCAAGCTGATTCATTCTTTGATTTCTTCTTTATAATCTTTGGCTTCTTGATTATTATTAGTTTTAGTGTCCATTCATTCTTTATAAATTTCTACCACCAGATCTATTATTTGCTGCAGCTTGAAGTTCTCTTCTAGTCAAAATTCTTTAATGATTATTATCTCTCTCGTTCCTTGTATGGTAATCCTCACTATCTTCATTCCCATATTCTTCTTCTTCTTCAGATTAAACATCTTCTTCTATTTCAAAGTTTTCATCGCTATCTCTGTCATAGAAACTATTATCTGGATCTATATTGGTATTTATTCTGGCATTTAATTGGTTTTAAATCTCATATCTTTGTTAATTATTTATTGGTCTTTAACTTCTGCCTTCAACTTAGTTTCTCCTTCTTCCTCTTCCTCTATTTTATTGAGCTTATCTATTTACATTTCTTAAAATTTCGATGTCATCTTAACTAGCTTGTTAAACATTATCAGCAGCACTAATATTGCTTAACTATGAATTAAGTCTGCCTCTTAGTATTTAATCATCTTCATATTATCCATTTATCATTTAGAGTAAATCCTCATTATTGTTGAAAAAATTGTTTCTAAGTCCCTCCTCAATTTAAGATTAGATAAATTGCTCTTCTTCAATACAAATGCCTTATCTTAAAATGAAATTTCTATCATATTCTTCATGATTGAGATGTCTAAAGTTTTTAAATTTTCCTATCATAGATGAAGGAGGCTAAGCTTCATATGGAATTAGGTTATAAGAGCAAATTTAAGGTTCTTCATTTTGGTCATAATAAATGTTGGCAATATGTCTTTAGTCATCATAATGATAGAATTGCTCTACTCTTGTAGCATAGTACTTGTAAGGGGCTCCTTCACAAGAAAATAAACTAATAGTACCCATTTCAGATCCAATAACAAAGCAGGATCCATCAGGCGAAAACTTGCCATCAAAAGGATCATTCATTGTATATTTCTCATATGTATAAACACCATATTCTTTAAAACTCTTAATTAATCTCCTCTATTTGATATCCCAAAGACATATCAAGCCACCATCACTTCCAGATAAAAAGACTTCTTCAATTGTAGGATGAGGTGCTAGAACAAATGAAAAATTCATTAGTTTTAATCCATTTTTTTCTCCAATATCTTCAATAATAGTGTTAGTATAAGAATCCCATATTTTAATGAAAGATTAGTCGTGACTCTAGTTGTCTAGGTCTATTTTTCCACTGAGTGCACAAATAGCATATCTTCCATGAACTGACCAAGCAATACAATCGCATTACCAGTTACTTTTTTATTGTCGGTACTCTGCCATACTGACTTAATCTCCATGTCTCTAAGAAGTTTAAAATAACTAAAAAGCTTACATTTTAAAAGAATATATGCTTATCTTTACTGCCAAATATCCTTTTCTCCTCCATTGTTACTAAAAGTCTGCTATCAGTTAATAGTAACTGCTAGTCAGTAATTTTCTTGCCTTTTTCTTGTTCAATATTCCATATTTTTGCTGTTCCATCAACAGATCCTGTGAATAAAAATCTTCCATTTGGCGAAAATTCACAAAAATGGACAGTCTTTATGTGCTTTTTAGAGGATCCTAACCATTAAAATGCTTTTTAATGCTGCTATCTAAATTTTACAATATCTAGTTTCCACATGTATATTTCTCCACTGCTTGTTCCTGCAGCAACCAACCCATTTTGATTTATATTTATGGAATCTATCTTTTTGTTTCTATTACCTTATACTGGTCTGAAATCATCCGGAGTGAGACATTAAAAGTACCGCTCTTTTTTGTTGGCAGCAGAATCATTTCTTCTAGTTCGCTTTTGAGCTTGTTCTATAACTCCTTAATTCAAGTTATTTAGGAAGCCTAGCTCATCATATATTTTGATGGTTCCGTCCTCAGAGCAAGTTGCCAGGATTTGAATTTTTTCTGATTCCTTTGTTTGTTAATTTTAATTCTTTATTTTAACTTGGAAGAATTTTATATTATTTATCGTAGAGTCATGAGCAGCTATCTCATCTACCTTCAAGCAATTTTTCCAATCCCAGATAATCAGCTTTCCATCTTTACTAGAAGTAGCAAGATATCGATTGCATTTGCTTATATCCATATCTGTGATAACTTCATTATGGCTGTGGAGGGACCCCTAAAGATTCATGGTTTCCTTGTCCCAGATCTTGATGATCCTATAGAATGTTATAAATGAGTATTTACCCATCATCAGCTCCACTTATGATGAAGTTACCAGTCTAGTCAAAAAGTACACTATAAATTGGAGCTTAGAAGCCCTCCTCAATTTAGGCATGACCAAATACTGTTTTGACTCTCTGATAGCGGGAAACCTAATAATTTTTAAGATTTCTTTTCTGATCAGCAGCGAAATTTTAAAGATGGAGACTTTTGTAATTCTACAAAAGACTCTTGTGATCTCCGCTCACGAGCTTAGTCCTAAGGAAATGGCTTAAAGAGAAGAAATGAAATGTATATTTACTTTGGTTGATATTGGATTCTGACATTCAAAGATGCATCTTTTTTCGAAACTTGTTTGGCAACACCTTCTGTTTAATTTTACAGTATTTTTGTGATGAAGTTTTAATCAATTTGACTAAAATTAAGCTTAACCTCCTCAAAGTTTAGGGGTCTAGAGTCTCCTTTCCAGTCGATGCGTTGAGGTAACTCGAGTTTATCAGATACCTACAAAAATAATGACAAAATATCAATTACAGTCTTAACAACCTCTTCAAACAGAGTTTTGGGGACTTTGTCCTCCAGAAATCGTAGACATATAAAATTAGCCTGCCTTTTGGCAGCCTCTTCAGATGTCTCTCTCAAAGATAATGGAAGCATTAAAATCTATGTTAGCGCCTATTAAAAATATTTTCAATATTTAAATTACTGATAAATCCATATCTAATACTAATCTCTGCTCTCGGGGTTTTGGGGTTTTGGGG